CTCCCATAGAGGATCTCATTAAGAACAGGCATGCCCATACAAGGAAGTGTACACACAGGCCTTACTTTGAGGCGGGCCCTGGTCCAAGTTCTGCAAGATAAGGTAAATATCTGCCACATCCTCTTCTTGAAAGAATTGATCAGGGTCTGTCATTCATACTTTTGGATGTGTTTGAATGTTCGGTGGTGGGACCATTGCGTAAAATGAGGCCTTGGACACACCCTGCCCGCTTCGCATCTGCTTAAAGACTAGCAGAGAAAAGGCAATGAGCGATAATTGACAGTTGTGTTGTTGGAGCATGCCTGACCCTGTCGAATGCATTTTCCAGTGGTGTCTCAGCAGAGAGCTTTCGAGTATTGTGGAGACTGTGCAAACGACTGCTATGAGTGGCAGCCGCATCTTATCATATCAGGTCTGACCCCACTTGTGAAAGCTTGAACAGTTAGCACCACCCCTTCTTTGAGCAAATATCCCCCGAAACCCTATTCTCGTCAGTCGAGCCCAATACCGTGTCTTCAGCAAAGAAACCTCAGACCCTGTGGCCTCGTAGAGTTTGCTACCCTCGAGGTCCTGGTGCCCCTGGATGAGAATGTTCTCAAGCTTCAGGTCGCGATGCAGGATGTTCTTGGAATGCATATGCTCCAGGCCATCCAAAATCTGTAGGCAGATGAACTTTGCCTCAGGCTGGAGTTTGAAGAGCCGCATTACATTGATCTAGTGTTGTTTGATAAACGTCGGTGGACCCTTTGCCAATGGCTTGAAGGTTGAATTCACCAAGATAAGCGCGAATGATTGGAAGCCGTTATGAGCAATACCATCGAATGACAAGGAACTGAGACAACAACCCTAGTAGAAACAGCAACATGAAGACAAAGGTTGGGAGTTATTACAGCAAGAGTACCTAAGCAGCACCCCGAATCTGAGCAATAACTATCACAGTTCTCTCATTAGCGGGAATCTGTCCCCAGGCAAGACCAAGAAGCCTAAACCGCTCTAGCTAGTACTGATCAATGGTCACCCCTGAATGAAACAAACCACACTGTCTGGCTAGTCACCTGGACATGCTGGTTTGCCTGAATGAGTGTACCATAAGTGACCGAGGGTGTTTAGGGGCCCGCATTTATGTTATAGTCAAAATACAAAAGATTTTTTTGCGGAGAAGGACCTATTGCATGTTCTTTCTACAAGTGACAGTGTTGGATTCGCTCTCCACTGAGTTCCAGGAGCACACCCTCTTTTTGCTGGGTCCCACAGCTCAATCAAGTTTAGTTTCAATCAGCATCAGGACTGAAATGACTTAGTCTGAAAGGAATGGATATGTTAAGGGTCCTAGGGCATCTGCGAGGTTTGCCATGGAAGTATACGGATTCTGCTTGAGGATGATCTAGGGGTTCTTAAACTTTCCGAAATGTGGCGAGAGTCCTCAACTTCGTTAAGCCGCCGGTGTTCGCTGCTCACCTAAGAAGCGTCCACACGGTGTGCAACCTATAGGGTTTGCCACGCATTGCTCCGGGTTTGGTGTTGGGTCGTCAAGAAGCTGCTTAGGTACCCGCTTGGCGTTGTGCGCTAGATTTGTGACCCCAAGACTTCCACTGCAGGTCCTACTGAACGAAGGTTTGCTTTGCCACAAGGGCAAATAACCTTCATGTCCAAGAAAAGACGAGTGCCCCCTATTCGTATTCAAACCGAGAACTAGCTGCGCTGCAAACGCCGATACATGCAAGATCATAATCGCAGACAGGTGCCGCACCTAAAATGACAATCACACCCTCTTCAACTAGGCCTCCCAAGGCATTGGCGTCAGTGTGCCTTCATTGCTATCCTATGGATACTGCCGTCCAGCTATAACAGTCGTATAAGAACCCTTAGTCAAGGTAGCGGAATCATCATGACCGTTGCAAGGTGCAGGACTGTTATAGGGTGTCGGCAGTATAGCTTTCTTGAACTTTCAGCTCGAGGCTCTCTTGGATCTGAAGCTGCTCTAGACCCGCCCCAGAAACTAGGGGTTCTTACAAAACACCAGTGCGATATGTACGCGATACTGCCAATCATAAGGGACTATAGGGCATCACATCTATGTGGCTTGACTATGTTCCTACCCAGCCCCTTAACAAGACCAGGACACCACAGCTTGCAATAGGTCGCCCCCTCGGGCAAGATCCATGACCTAGGTTTTAATTTGAGGTTTAGTTTCGTCTCAAGCTCGTGGATTTAGGGTTCGGGCTCAGCAAAAAAAACTCGGGCCTCATGTAGGATTCGGGATCTTCAATGCTGAAGCTCTAACGTCTAAGTCAGGGGCTTGCAGTTTACCGTTGGAGCGAATAGTTTGGGATTTTGAGGGGTCTCTGTCCGAGGTCTACGGTTGAGATTTTTCTATTTCAGGGTTTGGACTTCAGCGTGCAGGCTGTGTGCTTCGACCCTCTCAACAAAAAGGCTTAGTGTCACGTCCGCTCTTCCTACAAATGCAGCAACTACTGCTGCCAGTGCTGCTGCTAATATGCGTCATAGCAAGAAGGTAGCGGTACTCAATAGTTTTTGCTGATGGTTAGTCACTCCTGCACTCGGCTATTTGCTATGACTAGTTACATCGGTGGTCCTCGAACCAGGTAGCTACTTGGCTAGATAACTACAGGAGTAATAGAAGGAGGAGTTGTAGTAGGAGCGTGCGCAGGAGCAGGAGCAGCAGCTGAAGCAGCGGCAGTAGTAGACAGCCCCATCATCTTCATCACCATCATCAACATCGTCATCGTCGTCGTCGTCGTTGTCGTGGTTATCATGAACGCGCCTTCGTCGTCGGTCGCGTTGGTCGTGGTTGCCGTGTCTGTTGTGGTGGTCAGGCTCTTGTCGTCGCCCTTGTCATTACAGCAGAAGCAGCGGCAGAAGAAGGAGCAGCAGCAGCGGCGGTGGCGGCAGCAGCAGCCGCCAGCAGCACCAACAGCACCAGCAGCAGCACCAGCAGTAGCAGCAAGCAGCAAGCAGCACCGGCAGCAGCAGCAGAGCAGCGGCAGAGCCGTAGCAGAGCCACTTGCAAAAGGCACTAGCACCCTGCAACTGAAGACAAGGCGCCACGGCCGCCCACTGTCCATCGATCTGTGTGGCCAGGGGCTGGACGATTCCTCAGACACAGCTTAAATGGCTTAAATGGTGTGGCAGTTGGGTCCTTGGGGCTTGGGATGGTTTAGGGTTGAGGTGGTCAGGCGCCAGTATAATGCAAGAAAAAATTCGGAATTCCGTAGAATGTCTCTAGATTATCTCAGGCTTTGTCGGTATCTTCGTGTTCTCAGTGGGCACCTATGCATATACATATACAACTATATGTATATGTATGTATGCACATACGTATAGGTGTACAGCATATATGTGTATACAGGTATAGGTGTTTGCATACGGAATATTTTCAGTTTCGCAACAGCCAAAACCTGAATCTATTGCAATAAGCAATCTGACAGAAGGGCAAGGGCATAGTTCCCCCGCATGGACCAATCCGCATGGACCAATGAAGAAGGTCACGCGAATATGTACTAGATGTCTAGTTCTTCATATGAGCGTCGCCCACGACTTATCTGAAAACACAGGTTTGCCCAGAAACAGTACCTTTCTTGGAACACACCCACACAGTAATGTTGAGTTCAACCTTGGTCCCGATTGTAAGTATTTAGGGGCCGAAAACTATTCAGGTGTTTGTCAACAAAAGAGTCGCCTTATACAACCGCATCTGAATCAAATCAGGACCTATGCTTTTCTGGAAGCTTCAGCATCCTGGGTGAAGCAAGCCCAAAGCCCCTGGAAAACCAAACAGGGCCTCATAAAACCAGACTGTCTAAAACGGTCCTACAGGCCTGACTACGGAAGGCTACGCTGTGAGCAACCCCAAGATCACCAAGCGATGAACACATCAGCCTATAAGCTACACCCTAGACCCAAAACTCAACACCCAAAACTCCTGAACTGCAAAATCATCGACCTTACATCCCTATAGCCTCAGTCCGAGTGTCGTTTGTGAGATAACAACTTCATGATCTCGACCTCCCACGATAAGCAAAAGCCATATGCTGGACAGGCAGAACCGGCATGACTCTGAGTATACCATACTTCCACAAGTCCTAGGTGGTGCAGGATTCCGTCTGCCAATAGCCTGCCCCTTCCCCTGTATGGAAGGTTAAAGACCTCAATGGTTGTTATGCAAGGGGCACTGGGTTTCAGGGAATCCTGTCATGGGTTTCATGCATGCCTGAATGCCTATGTAGCTTAATGCGTGGGCGTGTGAGAGCCACATGGAGTTCCATCAGTACGGAGCACTTGCCAGGCAGGATACGATCTTGAACCTCATGATAAGGAGTTCTTAAGATAGGGGCCGTTCAGGCCGCTCGCTGTGTTGAAGCCACGAAGGATTAAGGGAGTCCGTATTGAAGGATTCAATTGGGTTGTTCGAGAACTTTCCGTATCCATTTTGCCTCCCGGGGCGGTAGTCTATGAAGTGCTGTCTTATCCTGGACTGACCCAGCTTCTGTGGCTTATCGCTGCTCATGGGAAACTATACTTTCCACATGATCCCCTCTCCAGCCGCTGCACACTGCTTTCAATGCCCTTTAGGTGGCTCCTACCTTCATAATGAATGCCCAACTGTTATCAACGAAGCACACATGGCAATGACAGTATGCAAGCAATGGAGGAGAGCTCAGGGCCTAAGGCGAAGCGCCTAGGGCTGGGATGGTTCTGTCTTCCGTGTAGGGATTTCTGTCCAAACCCTGCTGGCAAACCTTTAAACACACAACAAAAATCCCAACGTATCGCTTAGGACTGAAACAATTCAGGAGGATAGTCTAGGCGATGTCTGTAGCAGCAAACGCAGGCAACGACTTCATTGCTGCCTAGCGGCCTAGCAAGCTTAGGTTCAGCACAAAGGCTGATGTAACCTTTCCAAATGTCGTTGTGGCTATGCAAGGATATAGGCTGCCCTTTAACGATCCTTTGCAATTGCTTTGTTTCACAACCTCAGCTCACACCTCCCGAGAGAATCTGTCAAAAAGGTGCTTCTTGTGGAGCTGCATCACTTTCACCTCAGCGCACAGACTGCTGCAGCTGTAGGAATGTTGACTCCGATTCCCTTTCCGTGTCCCTGTTCTTCTTAAACAGAGACGGTAATTCTTGAAAAATGCTGCTGCAACAGGTCCTACAACGGCCTAAAAGGCTAGCTCTGGCCCAAGCCTTAATTGCACGCTGACTCAAGTCAACTGAAATCCTTACTGCCCTGCATCCCAGAAAATTCCTGAAAGATGCTGCCTATCATTTCAGGAACATTGAATGCAGGCCCAGAGATTCTGAGGATGCGCTTCCAACTGTCCAATGTTCATATCCCAAAGCTTAGCTAAATCTCAGGCACTTGAAACCCTACCCTAAACTCCAAGCCCCAAGCCCGAAGCCCAAACCCTCCAGCCCTAAACCCTACCCCACAGATACCATATTATACAGCGTATTTTGAAGCAGAAACTATAGAACAAACACTCAATATGCTACACTTCGCTAACCTCATGTTCACAAAGACTTCTACAACAAGTCTTCACTTCCAAACCAAAATTGTTGAGTTGCGCGGTCTGGGAGCAGTCTTTTCTGAAACCCTACATCCTGAACCCATATTCTCGCAAAGTTAGCAGAATGGCTGCGTACTCCTTTCCCGTGTCCACGTCTCTCCCCACGTAGACCTGCGCACTTGGAGGGGTGATGGGTAGTGAAAAGGTATTCAACAGCCTGAAGCCCTCCAAGCCCTCACAGCCCAGCACAGCAGGATCCAGGACGGACCTGCTCAATCAGTCAAAACTCGCAATGAAGCAGCAAGCAACATCACCATCATTGAGATAATCATGATAAGTTCTGACGAAGGAACCACGTATTCAAAAAAACACTCTTGCAACTGCCCTTCTAGATCCAGACCCATCGATTTGCGGATGGGCCTTGGCGTGCCCGCCTTGTCCCAGCCGCCTGTGGCTTGAAGAGAAGTGCCCGCGAAGCTTTGAGGGTTCCGGGCACTGGCATGAGATTGCTTGCAGGGCTTACCCCTGGACCTAGAGTTTGAAGGGTATCTTATTTGTACCTGACCACCTGGATAGGCTCAGGATTCCAGCATTTAACACTACGCCCCTCGTTTAAAAAACCTGTCAAACTCTCAAAAAGAGGTTTGCAATGGAAACCCTCATTTGGGGCTTCGATCCGCTTTGGGTTGCCAGTGAAAACGTCTGCTTCCTCTCCTTGAGCAAGAAGTTCAACAACAAATGGCAGTTTCTGACAATCAGGGGTCCCACCATATTAAGAGTGATTTGAATACTAACGTTTGGGGCAGCCAACTTGCCATTTCATGTAAGGATGAGAAATGAATCTGATGGGTCCCTCGTAAGGAGCTTACACGGGATGTTTAGGGAAAGGCCCAAGTGTTGTCAGCATGCAGCCGTGCGGACTTCAAACAACGCATGCCTGCTTGAAAGACAGTCAGGAGCAATGGCCGTTCACAGAGAACATCAGGAAACGATAAGTTGGTTCAGATCCGTCCAAAGCTTGTCTGAGGCATGTTGCTCCAAGAGGCCAGGCATATCAAAAAGCCTTTTGCGCGTTCTCATGCCTGAAGGGCTTGTGCGCGCAATGCCAGACTGCCAGACCGACTGCTTAACTGCCATCAGTAACGCCTAGAACGGCACGTGTTCGAAATGAGGCGCACATGAGGTTGGCATACCCCGCTTCAGATTCACAACTAATAGCTACAAATAACTGATGGAGGTTGCGCCGGCGAACGCGAATACCAAGCGCGAAACCCCCAGTTCCCGCCTGCAAACCCAAACTCTCCACCCAACCCACTGCACCGAAGATCATATGGGGGGTAAAGTTCTCTTCGCTTCCTTCAGACCAAGTTGCCTCTTCTTGATGAGTAGTGACACCCCAAACGAAAACCCAGATCCTCAACCGCGAAAACCACAAAATGTCGACGAGAAACTGGCAGGGGGATTCCAAACCCAACAAACTGCGAACACTTGGCCCTGGCAAACTCAAACACGAAGCCCTAGGAACCAACTTTACTTCAACGTTCTCCGCATGGTAGCACTACCGATCGAAATTGAAACGTACGAGCAGGGAGGCACACTCTTGAAAGTGCGCAAGCCCCAGATACAAAATCAGAGCTAGTTGGCAGCTTGCATAATGGGAGAGACTTGTCCAACAAAAGTTATGCTCCCTTCTTGGGAAACATGCGTAACGTTCATGGAGGAAATCTTGCACCACCCTAGGTGCCTAAGTCCTAGGACGCGCAGCAGTTTAGGAACGACAGTTGGTGCAAGATGTACTCCATCAACAACATGTCAAGCATCCGGCACCGTGCATTCTGGGTCCGCAAGAACCATTAAAAAATCCTAGCCACTACAGGTGCAACAGCGCAAGCATAATTCTGAGAGAGCCTGACACTCAAGCCTGCAACCTGAATACATGCCTGTAAAACCCGTATGTAGCATATATGAAAATACATGTATATCACTCAAAAGCACCAGGGGAACACGCAGTTCAGCCCCAGGTCACGCAGCCTCTCCAAGCGCAGTTCGCCAAAAGCATCTCCTAATGAAATGATAGCTCCAGGCTCCTGGCGTAAATTGCAGCCTAGTTTGTGGGATGTCGGTATGTATGGAGGCTTGAGACTGATTTGACTACGATATTGGGAATGTACTTAGAATTACAGGCTTGCTTTTGGTGGCTTATGAGCCCAAGTTGTTGAAAAAGGTGCGTTCTTCGCGTAAGGATTGTCCGGTGGCGGCTTGGATTTAGGACCTGTGCCACAACTACCACTGTAGGGGCCTGACTAAGAAGAATATGCATTCGAACATACCCTACGGTGGATGGAGGAAATCTTGCACCACCCAGATAATGCCACTTCGGGCGGCCCTCAAGATATAACCCCGCACCCCCCTCTTAACATTGACTACTGACATGGCGGCGCGGTGCAAGATTTATGTCATTGGAACAAATTTACAGAACACGGTTCCCAGAACAATATTAAGAAGGGGGCGCGGGGTTTAGCTTACATGGCTACTCCAAAAGCGGTGCAAGATTTCCTCCATCCACAGTCCCCATTACAGGCTTAAGTGGGGGCCCTTTAGTAGTAGGGTTACAGACACCAACGCGCACTTGCACACAAGGATGCAAGGGCCGCATGTGACTCTTGGCTGTTAAGAGCAGGTGCACGCAAGCAGCAAGAAAACCTTTTCATGGGTGGTTTCACTGGCGCATTGGTGCACGGACTATGTGTTAGCCATTACAAAATCCGCAAAGCAGGCTGGGCACTCGGGAATCTTACACGGCCCAACCTGGAATGGGACGGAGAAGTAAAGATCTTCAAGCGACGAAGGAGCATGCTCCATTCACTGGGCTGGCCCAGCTGCATGGCCTCCTGGGCCTTCTGCATGATGGGCGCCAGCTCCTTCTCCTTGCATGTCGCGAAGATGGGGGCGGTCCCGCTGCAGAGGAGGTGGCCACTGCAGTCTTTGTTCTGAGGCCGGGTGATGGGGAAGCTCTTCCCCTCGTACCACAGGAGCTGCGTGGCAAGAGGGACCACGGAAGTGTCGAACGTCCACTCGTCAAGCAGCACAACTTTGCGACGCTCGAGCCCCAGCAGTAGGAAGGACCCCGGCTGCGGAGTGGCCTGGATATTGTCCATGCCCACAACCTGGCGCAGCGGGGCCAGGAAGAACGACTTTCCTTCCCCGCCGAAGCGGCCCATCAACACGACCAGTGGCACATCTTCGCGTCTACCCACTTCCAAGCTGCGCAGGACATGAGAGCATAGAGTCTTGATGTCCACCTGGTTACGAAGTAGCGTCTGCCAGGCCACGTGCCTCCACACGCCGTTGCAGCAGCAGGGACACGCACGTGCTTGCAGCATGAGCTGCAAACGCGTCTGGGCATTGACGTGGAGAAAGTCATCCACCGTCTCCCAGGACCACACGTCATCGATGATGGCTGCAAGCTTCTGACGGTTCTTGAAGGCAAAGGTCACCAGGGCAGGTGATCCGTATGCTTTCAGCCACTGGATGAGCTTCTCTGCAGCCGTGTGGTCATCTGCTGAGTTGCGGAAGCCGTTCTTGACTATGATTGGGTAGAGGTCCATCTCCGTGGGCCTAGGCTCAGGCTTCCCGAGCTCCTCAGCCAGCTTCACCTTCGTCTCTCTACGCCTATTCAAGGCTGCTGCTGTGGATGGCTCCTGGCAGACCTCAAAAAGAGGCTTGTGGTGTCGAGCCCAGGTGTACGGCTTGCTGTCCAGCTCCTCAAGTGGCTTAGATGGTGAAGGCATGCACCCATACCTGACCGCAGACCAGTACCCCGTGTGGCTGCAGCTCCAGTGGCTAGCAAGGCCATGCCGCGCATACAGCGCACGCTTGATTGAGGCGAAGCGGAAGTTGCTGGTGGCCCTGAGGGCGATGCGCCAATGAAATGGCCCCGTCTCTTCTCCCTGGCGTGGCGCATGCCGCTCTCGGAAGATGACAAAGCAATGTAGCTGCGCCGCCAAGCCCCAGCTTGCACTGTGTTGCGCAAGCGCAGGGTTCTGGAAGGCATCCATGAGGACCCTTGCCACGTTCTCATGCTCCCACTCACTTGGGCAGCGCAAGCCTGGCTTCTCGTCAGCCTCATCCAAGCGGCGGAGGGCGGGCAAGGTCACAAGGTAGACTTGCCTGCTCGGCGATGTGGGCTCACGCTCCAGCAGCTCCTCAGCCAAGTAGGGCGCAGGCTGCGGCAAGGTAACTGCGGCCTCCTCCAAAGGCAGCAGGCACACCTTCTTGCGCCAGTCTGGCTCCACAGCCACCTGGTCAAAGCCCAGCCAGCTCTTGCTTCGGACGCGCTTTAGCGGTGGGTTCAGGGCACAGGTCTCCATGCTTTGGCTACCCACTCTGCCTTGGTCCTGAATGTTACAGAAGTCACAGTTAACGTTCAGTTAACGTTCAGTTAACGTTACAGTTAACGTTACAGTTAACGTTGCAAAATCGCTGGCCCTGCCAGCACTTTCCACATTTCGACTATAAAAAGCTGAAAAAC